TGATATAATATGTTATTTAATAATAGTTTTATTGTATTATATTAAATATAATAATAAATATACATTATATTGTAATTATATATATATTATAGTATAATATAATATAATTATTATTTTTAATTATTTCAGTTATAATTTTAATAATATTATTATATTCTATATCATAATTATATAATAATAGTTTTTTGTATTATATTAAATATAATAATAAATATATATTATATTGTTATTATATATATTATATTATAGTATAATATAATATAGTCGTAATTTTTAACTATCTACAACAATTCAAGCTCATAATTTACCAAACGCTATTACATTGATTTTGGAACCAGTACAGCTACTATAATTATAATTTACCAAACACTAACTACTTTTTGTAACAGCTGCTTCTTCCTTCAGCACAACTATTTTCTAAAATCTACAGCATTATCAAGTTAAGCCAAAAATGAGTTTAGGTTTAGTCATATCTATGATATTTCAAAGGAGGTAAAGACATAGAAGTTGGGATGGATAATCTGTTTTAGGGTGTCCTTGGTATATGTATTAGCACTCGATATTGTATTATTTTTCGTGATAATCCTATTATTTAATAAAAAGTTTAAAAATAATGTAATATGTATTGTGATTAATGTGTTTTAGGGTGTCCTTGGTATGCATATTAGCACTCAATTTTGTATTATTTTTCATGATAATCCTATTATTTAATAAAAAGTCCAAAATTAATGTAATATGTATTGTGATATTTGTGTGTAAAAAATATCTATGTACTATACCATATTGTATAATTTAACCTATGATATGGTAGAAATTATAATTATTTTACATAATATGGGGCCGAGCCTAGGGTTAGGTTGGTGATCGAGTCAGGTGTAGGGTCCGGAAGAGTATAAGAATTGGGGTTAAGACTTAAAAAAACTGAGGTTAGCGAACATTGAAAGCATATGGCACAACATCTTATTAGAACACAAAACCAAGCACTTTATCTCTTCTACATAACCAAGAGATGGGGTTTTTTTTGTGGTATTATAAGGATCCATTTAGTTCGCTGATTCTAATTTTTAATTCGAGTTAAAATATGACTTTATGTGAGAGCTTGTTACTGTAATAAAAAAGTTGTATGTTACTGTTTCTGAGAGCTTTTTATTATAGTAAAATTTAAATTCTAAACTTAAATCAGTGAAATGAACGAGCTAAAAATGTTTGGTTATGAAAGTTTCGCACGAATTTAAGAGGAAAAGAAAGCTTGCATAAGGAAGAGAGGGAAAGAACTCATGCGTTAAACGCTTCCTTGAAATTGCCACATGTCATTTTCTAATTGGAACTCTTTTCAGTGGAACCTACTTATGATTGGTTTAACAATTTGGGTTAACACGTGTCAGTTTGTCATTAGTTGAAAAAAGAGCTCATGTAGATAGAGAATCTTACGCGGGTGGAAGGTGGCCAACAACTAGGCCATGCTTCGCGTGTTGGTTGGCTGGTGCAAGATAGCAACGGGACCCACCAGACACAGACCAGCTGAGACTCCTAACGCATTTTTGTGCAGTCAAAAAAGTACTCTTTTTATGACAAATATACAAAAAGAAAATCTCTAATAAAACTCTTTAAATTTTAGTTAAAATGATTAGAAAATTATTTTAATTAATAATTTTTAGGTGATTCACTCTAATTATGCTCCCTATTTTTATTAAATATAGATTATTTTAATATTTATTGAATTTAAAATATAAATAATTTTATTGAATTTATAAAAAAATCTCTACATTTATTATAGTTGAAAGAATAAAATAATACAAAAATAAAATGACTAGTCTCTATGCTAGTTATATTTAACTAGTATGAAATGCATTATCTAAAATAGCTAATCATTTAGCTAATAGTGGGAGTAGAAAAAAACTAATAAAAAAGTTAAATTTTTTTATTTTAGCTAAAAAAACATAAAGGGCCCATTTAGTAACGTTTTCAAAATGATTTTGTTTGCAGTACAAAAGTAAAAATAAAATTATTTTGAGACTGATTTTGAAATTGCATTTGGTTAGTTTTTTAAGAGATTGTTTTGAGTATAATAAAAAAATAAAATCGTGTTTAGTTATAATTATTAATTAATATATTATAACATTGTTGATAAGTACTAGAAAATGAAAACAGAAAAGGAAAAATAACTTTCAACCATTTTTTAATTCATTCACAAAAACCATTCTCACTGTTTTTTATTTTCATTTTCGTTTTTAAAACATTTACTAAACAAATACGGTTTGCATACCATTTTTATTTTTGTGTCTTAAAAAACGTGTAAAAATATTTTAAAAATAATCTAAAACTAATTCTAAACGCACTTAAAATGAATAATATTATTAGGGTTACTCTTATAAAGATTCCAATGCATGACACGGTATGAAAAGATTGTTTGGAGTTCTTTTAACTTACCTTTTCTCGTAACAATAAAAACTAATTATTGTTAGAGATAATTTCGAGCTTTTCTTGTGACTAGGACAGAAACATTTAAGAATGGAATAACGAAATCATGCAAAAAATTTTTCAGCGACTATTTTCTTGCTGTCATCGTTGTGAAGGAAATAAAAAAGAATCCTTTCACTCTTTTTTTTTTTTTCTCGCTTGAAAATTCAAATCATCTTTCTCACTTTCAATGCATTTTTAATGATCTTAATTTAAAATTATCTTTATTTGCATGGGTTCAGTTAACTGCTATGGAGGCCATGTGCATGAACTATACAAATGTGAAACATATCTACGTGAAACGATCGACTTTCAAAAAGTATACTCAAGTGTGTATACAGAAAATAAAATAAAAAAAAGAGGATTTTTTTTTTTTTAGGCCGGAAAAAGGTACAGTTCCCAAACTATTTAAAAGGTCACGATTCTTAAGGGTCAAGTTTGATATAATAATAATTGATTCCTTTTTCGATGAAAATAAAAGTTTGATGTAACAAATATTTGTTTACCAAATAATTCTCTGCCAAAATTTTTTAAGCTAAGTATTTACAAAAAACTGCAGTTAGTGCCATTTTGTTTCCTTCTTAATATAATCTACTAATTAATCACATTCTTGGCATGCAATTTAGGACAATAGGAAATTTGCAAATATCCTATTGTCCTAAATTTACGTAAGCACTCTTGGATAATCTTAGACTGGTTTGCTTACCTATGTGTAGAATCCAATGTATATGGTCAGCTTTGGTTAGAATATACAAGTGATGGATACTTCACGCTAACATCTAAACATAGAGTATTTTTAGAGTCTGAAAACAATAATTAATTATAGTAAAAAAAAAAAAATTAATAACATTGGTTGTTCTTTGCAGTTCAAGAAAAGACTCTTGTTATGCGTTGAAACACTTTAACAAAAATTTTACCCATCACAAAACAATTACGCTTTGTTTTTTTGTTGCTTGTTACGCTTAATTAAGCTAGCACTCTGATGTTAACAATTAATCGACAAACATGATATCTTGATTAATCTTTCAGTTTTACCAAATTTGGCACTATTGTCTACCTGGGATGTATTATAGATTCTATAACAAAAAACAACGCCCCTGCTGAAAATAATATTATTGAAATTGTATTTAAATGTTTTTATATGATACAAAGAGTTCGAGTAATATATGTTTATTAACTATTTACTACTTTTTTTTCTCTAGCTAGCTCAAGTTTTTAAAGTTAAAACTATAATTATGCCAAAATGGTTGTATCTTTATATATTTGTCTAATTTTAACAATTTAATTATGTTAGAGAAATGCTATAGTAGGTTGCCACTACGTACATTAACAATTTATTTTAATATAGTGGCCATCCATTAACGTTTTGACAAAGAGGCGACCTTTGCTTAAGCTAATAAAAGTTTAAGAGGTAATTAAACGCTTCCCAAAAAATTCATAGGCCATGTTATGATTTTTCAGAAGTTTTCAGAAGTAAGAGATTATTTGGATGACTTGGAGACTTATGAAAACTTAGGTAAGACAATAATTTGTATGTATCTTAATCTATTTTATTATATGAACTCTAAACTATTCAAATTAGTACTTAAGCTATTTTCATTTCTCATGTAGATAGCTCAACTTCATGTCCTACTACAACCATTGAGGAGCCTATGAGTGTGGACTGATAAAGATGGTTGCTATTGCAATGCTTGTTTTGGATGGATTTGAATTAAGCCTCAATGTTTGCTTTATGTTAAGACTAATTTATGAGTGTAGACTAATTTATGTTTGCTTTATGTTCGATGTTGGATGAACTACTTTGCTTCATATTTGATGTTGGATGGACTGATAAGGATGGTTACTATTTCTATTTGATGATAAACTTTGAATGTTAGATTGAACTTTGAGTCTTTGATTTTTTGAATGTTGAAACCGACCACACAACCCACCCCGCACTGCCCCAACCAACTTCGTTGGGTTGTAAAATTTTTCTAACATCGTTGGGGCTAAATATGTGCAACCCGCACTTTTTGAGGCGAGAGAAGAAAAAGTCCTACCCACACCAACCCAACCCATGAACAGCCCTAATATTTTTCTCAATCTTTTTTTTAGATGTTGGTGTTTTTCAATCCATCATTGTTTGGTTGAAGGATGGAGATGCAAAAGGGGGAGCGAGTCTATATTTCCAGGGCCACTAAGTTGAATTCATCCGTTTGTCGAAGGATTTAAATAATTAATGACCACATGATTCAAATTTTAATTTACTATTTTATGATAATAAAACACGCAATATAATAAATTCGTGAAATAACTATCATCCATCTCCTGCCAAACAACAATATTATCAAAGATTATTATGATTCTTTTTAGCCTTGATTGCATTCTTCATCCCCTTATAACTCAACAATATTATCAAAGATTATTATGATTCTCTTTAGCCTGGATTGCATTCTCCATCCCTTAACTCTCTCAATCATTCTTATTATGATAATAATGTTATCAAACGACAAGAAAAATTATTATAAATCCTCTCCATGGATAACAACATATTGACCCACTCCTATCAAATGACATGAAAGATTACTATAGCCATCTCCATTATTCACAATATTTCTACCTCCAACTCTCGCAATTCTTAATAAAAACGCTATGATTATAATCATCATTTTAGCCAACAGGCTAATATATAGTTCAGAAGCACCCCCACACGTGCCACGCATACATCACTCTAGCCACGTGGCATCTCACTTACGTGAACATGCACGTGCCCAAACATATCATAAGCCTTGAGTTAAAATGTCAAATTAGATCTCACGTGCACGCGTAATAAACCAATATTTATATGATCGATCACAGACGTTTGGGATTATATTTTCCTCGTGACGATCCATCCAAGGTCAAAACCCCAAACAATTCAGAGAAAGTCAACCTTGGAAGTCAATAGAGAATGTCCTTGAAAATGAAGCGCACACGTATAGATGGGCAAAAATTTGACCGAGGAAGCCAAAAGATGAGACAAATTTGGCAGGCAAAAGTGGAGGGGCATTTTGGCTCAGCGGAAAAGAAGATCTAGTGGAAGCCATGTCAGCAATTAATTCAGCATGAGGAGGCTATAGGATGTGCTAGTTTTCTGTCACCTAACAAGAAGAAAACAATTTCTAAATTTCATACCAAAAAAAATTTCAAAAAAATACAAATAAAGGACTTTCAAATTAAAGGGGTCGCCATGTGAGCTTCTCTTGTAAGTCTTGGGCTTTATATTTGGTTTGTCATATGGACAAAGTCAAACTAATTATTCTGGTCTTAAATAGTGTGCCTTTTTTTTTTGCTTGGTATTTATGAGTGGTGTAATACCTAATGGTTTTTCTCGAGGCATTTCACATGGTTTTGGAGGATGTTAATGAGAAAATTGGCAGATGTACTTCTCATTTGAGCTATAAGCATCGTTCATTTCACTGATTTGAATTTAAAATTTGAATTTTATTACAATAAAAAGCTCTCATAAATAGTCACATCTAACTTTTTTATTACAGTAAAAAATTATCACATAAAATCACATCTCAACTCGAATTAAAAACTCGAATCAGAGAATTAAACGTACCCTTAAATGCTATAAAGAATTTTTGCTTTGTTTTGTAAAATTGATTTAAAACGCTCACTTAGTGACTAGAAGTATGAATAGGCAACTATGATAGATAGATATATTGTATCAAAAAACAATGGGGTTTATTTGAGAAGATAGATATATTGTATTCTTTTAGATTATAAAGATATAACTTCTCAATATTCAATTACAACTTAAACTTAATTATCAAAAAACAAAAAAACAAAAAAAAAAAGGAAAGAAAGGCCTCTAGTTGAAGTTTTCGTTTCTGGTGCATGTGAAAGTCTAGAACCCGAATCTTTATATTTAGGACGTTCGTTTGGCATATTTCATCGTTTTGACTTACATATAATATATAAGAAAACAGATCCTTAAAAAAAAAAAAAAGAAACTATAAACTAAACCAGAGATTCAAGGGCTGTGATCGGCTGTGATCGATTAATTGTGTACTAATATGACAGTGCATCGAATATTCGATATCTATATCTTTTTAAGCGATCTTTTGATAATTTACAAATAAAAAATAACAATTGAAACAACAACCTTATTCATGTCTCGGTCGTTGGTTTTTTTGGCCACATATATTTTCGTAGGCATGAACTGAAGCTTGGAGTTTCAGGACCAAAAAAAAAAAAGGGGGAAAGGCTAAACTAGCTGAGCAGACAATAAATTAGCGAGGTAATTTAGGTGCTAATTAGAATCTTGGTTGCAATTTGCATATATTCCAAGTAAATCTATCTCTTTCTTGCTCTGTTTATTATTATTATTATTATTTTGAATGCTTTTTCTTTCTATGTTAGTTTTAGGACAACATGGGATTTTATGCAAGCGACACTAAACTGAATCATGGTTAGAGGATTCAAACCATGGTTCATGATTTGAATCATGGTTCATGATTCACTACAGTATTTTCTCTCACAAAAAATACACGTAAATAAAAAATGATTCTAATTACATGATTCTAATCCATGAACCAAACGTCTCTAAAATCACGTGGATATTACTAAACACCTCTAGAGTTCGCATTAGTTTTTATAGAGCAAGTTGTGTCAGCTTCCAGATTTTGTCCCTTCCATGATCGGTATTAAATGAAGAGTTGAGAAATTAATTAACATTACTAATATTAATAATTTCCTCAACTTGATGTTTGGTATAACAAATCAGGGACAATGTATACTTGGTGCTCTCAATCATTGCCAACAAGTGATAATTATGAAAGAAAAATAAAAAACTTCTACAACAGTTTTAGCACAAATCACGCTATATATATATTTTTTTTGGTTATGTTTTTCTTTATTGTTGACTTCTGGGCAACCAAAGTAAGCACTAGAGAACCAACTATGCATTAAAAAAAAAAAAAAAAGGGGAGGGAATCAAATCTACCAACTTTTTAAAGAGTCAACCTTTTTAAGTTTACACTAACAGAAGTGGGCAACAAAGGAACAAAAAAGAAAGCAAATTCCACTTCAACAATGTTTTAGTCACCTAAAATTAGTCCATTTCACCATCACACCAATGGGCTATTTTCTCTTTGTTTCCTGCCCAAAATGTGAATGATCTGTTCACCTTGAGATGTCCAACTTTGGGGAGTATCCTAATTGCTCAATCTCCCAGCTTTGCTTTGAAGCAACTCTTTCATGGCGCGGAAAATACTCCTAAAATATTGAAAAAAAAAAGAGAAACAAAAAATTAAGAGAATTCTTTGAACAAAAAATGAGATTAAAGTTGGATTAAAAAAGTACTAGTAATAAAAGAAATAGTTTGATTGGAAGAACATTAATTACCTCCAACTTCTTGACTAGCTCCTTGGCAGAAGGAGAAGAGACAATGATATGGCGCGCGCTTGGGCAAATGAAGCCTTCCTCCACTGCTTTGTCAATAAACGACAACAAGGAGTTGTAGTATCCATCCACATTCAACAAACCCACCTGAAATATCATCAAAAAATGAAAATGTTTTTATTTATTATTATTTTTTTGAAATGGGAAATGAAAATATGTTTGATATTGGTCTTTACTATTAAAAAAAATTAGGGCTAGCAATTCGTGTTTACGTGTCGTGTTCAGGCCGACACCATTATAATAAACACGAATACGACACGATTAATATACGTGTTAGAAACCCAAACACGAACACGAAACGTTAATTACACTTTTAACACGACACGACACGCAGACATGATTATTAAATGGGCCGTGACGGATCGACACGAAAAAAACACTTTTACAACCCATTTATGACCCAACTAGCAAAAATAGTTGAATTTTATATTGTATTCAAAACTAATATTAATTGACTACTTAATATCACTTATAGTTAAAACTTGCCGACCATATAATAAGAAAAACATAAATCCTCCAATTCTCCAAAATAGCCAACACACATAAAAATATCTAAATATCAAACATATATATATATATATATATGATACTACTAGATTATCATATATATATATTTCAAAATATGACCAATTACCAAACATCAAAAGAAGTTTGAAAACATAACCAAGTACATCTAAATAAGTTTGAAAACATAACCAAACGTTTGAATGTTTAAGTGCATAAAACATAAAATAAATATAAGAAAATATCTTCTTTAAAGTTGAATGTCCAACTACGCTCCAAAATTAGTTTACAGTTGCTTTAACTTATTCATGGATTTTTTTAATAAATGACATAAGGTTGAATGTCTTTTTTATTTTTTTATAAATTTTTTATTTTTGTATATATGGGTTATAAACGAGTGGGCCGTGTCGTGTTGTGTTGGCCCGTTAATGGCCCATATAACTTAATGGATTAAGCGTGTTAAACGGGCTGACACGAATTCAGCTCATTTATTTTCGTGTTAGCCCGTTAACGACCCAATTAATAATCGTGCGGTCCAAACCCATTTATTTTGTATCATTTTTGTATCGTTTTATCGTGACGTGTCTGAAATTACCAGCCCTAAAAAAAATAATCTTCTTCACCACCTTAAATCATGAATCTTTAACTAGAAAGAAAAAAAAAACCTTGGAAACTTGCATTACCGGTTTGTCATGGATGCCAAGTTGTGCCCAAGTTATCACTTCAAGAAGCTCCTCAAGAGTCCCATAACCACCTTCATACAAAAAATGTTGAATTTTAAATCTCCTAATTTATATGGTACACAAGCACTTGCTAGTAAATACATTTTTATAACATCTTAAAGGCACAGAAAAGTTTCACTGAAATTTGATGCAGAAGATCAAATATTTATGCCATGTAATGTATTGCATCTGTTTATTGGCAGAAAAGCCTTGAAACAAATAAGCCCAAATCAAAGATTGGGTAAAAGCCTAGTCAAACAGTCCAGACCAGAACCCAGTTCATAGAGTTTTTGGGCTAAGGCTTTAAACTCTGTTGTCCATCTGACTCAATTCAAGGCTCAACAATAAAATTGGCCCATAGATATTTGACTCTTAGCCCAAATTTGGTTAACTAACTTCTTAAAAGGCAAGCTTGTTGGGTTTCTCTGCTATTTTCTCTACTTTTATTATCATTATTATTATTATTATTATTATTGAAATGAGCTAGAAAATAAAATGAGGAGGGACAGATTTTTGATTTTGAGAAAAGGTAAACATATATAATTTCAGATTTTTAAGGGAATAAACTACAAAATCTAACAAAATACACATATACAAAATTAAAAAAAAAAAAAAAGAATCAGGACGGGCTGTTGCTTAGTCTCGGATAGGTGTAAGAAAAGGAAGAGTTGAAGCTAAAGAGACTTTTTTTTTTTTTTTTTTTTTTTTCTTTGGGAAAGAAAGAGATGAAAATCACAATCACTTTCATTTTTCTTCCAAAATAAGTGAATGGATTGGATATCAGAGTGAGACCACAGGCTGAGGGAATAATCACAGTGAGAAAGTGCATGTTAACCACACAAGCTCCCTAGAAGCCTGATTGTCAGCGTCAGAGCGTGATGAAAATAAATTCAGAAAACTTGAGTGGTTTCTCTCCAATTATTATTATTATGGGCCTTTTACCCTCTTTGGGGTCCATTGAGGACCAAATATCAAACATGTCATAGTCATTCATCCAAAAATAAAATAAAAACTTCTCACTACTCACTACTCTGCTTAAAGTTTAAACCCCATAATACATGAAAACTTAAAACAATTTTCTGACACTTAAACTTCTAATGTGAATTTCCATAATGGATATGTTCACAAGACTTTTGTCTTTGTTCCTTATTTGCCTTCTACTTTTTTTATTTTTTGGTTAGGTAAGTTTCCTGAATAACTCGTAATTTATAAGGTGTAAATAAAAAAGACATCAAAGTTATCTATGTGAGATGAAATCAAGCTTAAAAACTCCATTTTCAAAGTCATAAAAAGGCTAAGTTGGTCTTACACAAGTGCACAGAAATTAGACCATTTAGATAAGGAGGGCCAGGTTCAAGGGGACCCTCTAAACAGGTATCTTGACAATATACACATCTTGGAGAATATTCTCCAAGGAGCATTTTTTTTTTTTTAGGACAAAAATGTATTAGTAAGCCACTCTTTTGTATTGATGTGTATAACTTTTTTAAGTGCACAACATGGTATGTCAACATACATAGTTGACTTTTAGAAGCTAGTTCTTATTTCAAAACCTTAAAACTTGTTTCACCCCAAAAAGAGAGAATTTTATTGAAATGCGGTAAAGAAGACCTTTTATAGCAAAAAGAGAATTAAGCTACTTTCTTTAATTCCATACCTGCCCCCTACCATTTTATGGTGTATTCACACAATAAAATATTTGCAAAATTCAAAGGTACTTGCTTTTTTTTTCCCCATTAATGCCAATATTTCTTCTTTTAGGAAAGTTCTTTTTTATCTCGATGGAAATTTATCTCCGTAAACATAAAAAGTGGGCCCCATATATTGAGACTCAAATGGACCCTGTAAGTGGGGCTCTTTTTTGTATCTGATTAGGATAATTCTCATGGGAGCAAATAAGTTGCTCTTTTTTTATCTTCTCAATTGGTAACGATATATTGTAGAGCACTCTAATTCATCTTAATAGGATTAAATTTCATTAATAATAAAAAATTAGTCTCGTTAAGTGAGTAAGTGAGACAATATATAATAGAACCTATTATTTTGTGAGTATAGGGTATTATTTCTATCGGAATAAATATCATTATTTTATGTTGTGACTTGTGGGTGATAAATTAAATAATCCCCTTAAGTGTGGTAAAAAGTTGTGAGATGAAATTGTAGGAATGGGGGAGTGAGAGGTTTTACAAACCGGGTAAGGCAATAAAAGCGTCAGAGTGCCTAGCCATCTCTGCCTTCCTTTGGTGCATGTCTGCTACTGCCTTCACCTCCCCCACTGTTTCTCCAGTTATCTGAAGACTCACCAAAATCCCAATTCATCAGTCCAAAAAAAATAAAAACAAAGACAAATAACAAACAATATAAATATATTTAGGCACAATTATGGCACTTTTGTGTGTATGCATGGATGAGTATATGCATATAGTGGTTATAGAAAGTTCCTGGAAAACAAAAAAGACGAGGGAAAAAATTAACTCTACTAATATACACAACTTTAAATTATTAGATTTTTATTAATGTTTGGTAAGGGGATTCGTATCCTGATTTGAATCATAGTTCATAGTTCGCTACAGTGTTTTCTCTCACAAAAAATACACGTAAATCGAAAATGATTCTAATCCATGAACCAAACGTCTTCTAAATTCCGTCGAAGTGTTGTCATACTTTTTTAATATAATATAATACTAATTTAATTCGACGGTTTAAAATTGTATTCTATTAGTATATTTCTGTTATGATTTAAGTGTGATATCACGATTTAAAAATACATCTTATTGGTAGGTTTTTTCATACTATACCGTGTAATTCTTAAAATAATAATAATAGAAGGAGAGAGAATGAGAGAGGAGAAGAGTAGAAATGATGAGTGGTGGACACAAGCAGATGTCAAAAATAAATTGGCAATAACTCGCCAGGAGATAACATTTGCCACTTGGGAACATAAAGAAGAGGTAGAAAAAAACAGGGGAAAGAAAGGGAAAAACACAAGAATCAAAAGAGATGATTACACACACTAAAAACGCTGATATTTTGGTTTTCATAGTTTCAGATGTAATAAAAAAATCAAACAAGTGGAAACATAGAGATAGAGAAGGACAAAATGGTGAAGACCCCAGATGAACAATGGGAATGAGAAGAGAGTTCCTCAAATCCTTTTTTTTTTTTTTTTGCTTTTGCGAAATGAAATACATGAAAATTTGAGAACCAATCAAAACAATTCATGTTAGAAATCATATGAATCTCGAAACAGACAAGCATGTAATCCTTAGTTTTAAGATAACAAAAGTGAGGTAGAACTTCATGTATATACAGGTACCACAAGATGAAAAAGAAAACTTGAAACCAAAAAAGAAAAAGAAAAAAAGAAGAAGGAATTAGATAATGTTCTTCTATTACTTTCTCTATAGTTGTTTAGTCACTTTCATTTTCAAGTTTTACAGAAAGTAATACAACAGTAAAGAGAACATACATACCTCTCTAGGCATGAGTGTCTTGGGAATAACTCTACAGACAATAATATGACAAAAATCAGTTGAGAAGAATGAATACCCAAAATGACTTAAAAAAAGTAATTAGTACTTGAAGAATTTTTTCCCCGAGAAATTATGGGAAAAAAAGAGAAAAAGATATAGCTCACCCAATGACATGGCGACCACCATCATAAACAGCTTGTGAAATCAAACCCATCAAACCCACACTCCCTCCTCCATAAACCAGATCAATGTTTCTTGCAACCTTTTGAAATCCAAACCAAAAAAAAAAAAAAAAAAAAGGAAAAAGGAAAAAGACCCACAGAAGAAAAGATTGAGATGATTTAGAAACTCCACAATTTCATTACATGGAGAATAAGAAAAAGCCCAATTCAGAGAGATGCCCAACATAATGCATTTGATAAATTAATGAAATAGAGAAGAAAAATCAAATGAAATTAAGTTTCAGAGACAGAGAAAGAAAGAGGAAGCTCATAAAGAACGTTGCCTTTCCAGCTTCCTATTTGTCATGTTCTGAGTTGGTCCAACTTTTATTTAATCATTAAGGTTCAAGAGCATGGCATAGAAAATGGAAAAGGTCTGAACTTTGAAATGAATGAACAAGAGAAACAAAAGGAAAACCAAAAAAAAAAAAAAAAAGGAAAGCCAAAAAAACAGAGAAGCATTAGTTTACCAATTCCTTGCCAAGCTCAATAGCAGCCTCTTTATAACTGGTCTTCTTCCCGGGACTGCTTCCACAAAACACACAAATTCTCTTGAATTTTGATAGCTTAAATTCATTCTCAATCTCCATCTCTCTGTTTTTGTTTTGTTTTGCTTTTTTTTTTTTTTTTTTGGGTGGCGAAGCAGAAGAGAAGTGTGCAAATATCCCCGGGCTTTAGTGTCCCACACTTTTTGACAAAATGAGAATGAGGGAGGGAGGGTTCAATTCATGGGGGTGTGTTTGTAATATATTTATAGGGAGGGTCACTGGGCGTACATATCAGCACGCGCAATAGTGCATGCCATACTCATACTCGTACATACCACTTCACAATCACGACTCAGTACTCACGGGCAACCAAAATATACTCCACCAATATTACAATTCACATACCCATCTTTTACGGACCTCATTTTTCTCTCTCAGTGGCTTTTTCTCCACTAATTATCCCCAATGTCACAGAAATCTAATCAAATAAATAGAAATAAAATACTAAAATTACTTAAATTATTTACGAGATGTTAAAATTTAATTAGAAAGACAACTACCAAAAACGAAAAAAATTAAATAACATGTCTTGCTTCATTTTCCTCTTACCTACATATGCATAGCCCACCAATGACAAACGATACTGCTTTTTTTGTTTTTTTGTTTTAGTGTGATATCGTTGGCTATTTGGTTTTACACAAATAAATATTTTATTATACTAAATAGTTTTTTTTTTTCTCAATATGTGGGTATGAAGATAAAAATTAGCACGGATGTTTTAAATTTGATTAAAAGCATGCGATAATAATTACCAGTAGGTGAGTAAAAGTCACTGAAGAATATACAGACTATTACTTTGTGGGAAAAGATAGATTGTATAAGGATCAAAAAAAGAAAAAAAGACATATCTAATCTAATGTACATAAAAAAGGTAAAAATCTTGCTTCTCCTTTTACCACGTATCAATCTCTCATTTCTCTCTTTTGTTTTTATTATTTTAATCACTCATTTTTGTTTGTTTTTTTTTTTTTTTTTTTTTTTTTCTTTTTTTTTTTTTAATTTTTTTTTTTTTTTTTTTTTTTTTTACTTTTTCTTATTTCTCTTATTCTTTTGCTTTTTTTTCCCTTTAATATTTGTTAATCTTTTGTCAAGAGCTTTTTGTAATTTAATTTTCTTACAAAATACTTTCATGATTTTTTTTCTCACTTTACTCTATTAAAATAATTCATTTTATATTTACTTCATAAATAATTTATTATGTGATATTTTTTTTCTTTTTAAATGTGCTCTACTAACTAAACTTTTTTTTATTATTAAACTCAATATTTAGCTTAGTAATAAATAAATACAACTAAATGTAGAAAAAAATTATATTTTCATATTAAAAATGTAAGGAATGCACGTGCGGGGCGCGTGCTTATAACTAGTACAAACACAAAGAGAATGACTATTGAGTTAAATTTAATGAAAATTAGATGGTTTAAAAATAATCGCTTTTCTAGGGTACTTTTTCAAAGCCTCCTTCATAGAATTTTGTTTTGTTTAATGTAGGATCAAGCAATTTGTTCATTTTTAGACCTAATTCCATCTTACGGTATCAAGTTTAAATCTCCTTACACCGAGCTTCTTTTTTTAAATAAGATTCATCATTGTGTGCGTAATTCTAAAACTCATATCATATCAGCATCAGGTTCAAAACATATTGTAAGATGTAAAAAAGTTCTTTTTTAACATTCTACCACAAAATTATGGTATATATACGCAAGTTAAACAAAAAAAAAAGTATTACCGGCATATATACATAGTATATACATATAATAAATAAATATGAGTTTGAAAATTTAATGGGTTTTTTAGGTCTGAAAAAATTAACAACTTTGTAGTTTGCCAAGCAAGTTTAATTGTCATATATCAAATAGATATTTAAAAAAAAAAAAAAGATGAAGTGGTATATAAGCTTTTTAATAGGTTCAGATACGATACATGCAAGTAATCCTGTTAATTTATTTTATATACTTAAATTTAAATCATAAATTCTATTATAATATTTTTCTTTCATAAAAAATTTATTCAAACGTCAAAATTAAGAATCGTATATCTTTAAAATGGGATTTTAGTTATTTTTATAAAAAAAATAATAATAAATAAAGTGATCTTTTAGCTATCATGACGCCATGACTTCTAATTCTAGGTAGATTTTATTATTACACGCTTTCCATGAGCTTCTTCTTCAATTTTGACTCTGGCGTTTTAGTTCATCACTTTTTTTTGAAATGGAGTCCATCACTTTTAAGTTAGTTCAAAACTATATTTGGATAGGAAAGTTTGGGGAAAAAAAAAAGTTTACCCTACGCATGAAATTTTGACTCAAGCGATATGTCAATTGTTAAAATCAAGTTTTTCAAACTTTTCTACTACTATGTATGATGTACTGTATGTTTCTCGTAATTTAAAGAAAAAAAACCCTATATATATAATATTATTTTGAGCGAGTTTCTTTTACCATTTTCATCTAATATTTTTTTTCCCTCAATTACACCCTTAAATGTATGTTCATGAGTTTACCCAAATTTGAGGCCATAAGAAACTGAAAGCATGGATATATAACCATTAAAACCACACCCATATAAATATATATATATATATATATATTACATTATAATGGGGTTGTTCATAACCTCACAATTTTTTTAAAATTTTTTTTTTTTAGTGCGTTATCAGAAGAATGCATATGGCAAGCTGAAGCTGGCTAGACCCACCATTAGTAATAAACACATTTCGGCAGATAGAACAGAATTTGTGTCTGTTTTTAGTTATTCCCTTTTCCACAATTTGGCACACAAATAGTACATGTACTATTTTGACAAATCACCAACATTAAAAACGCGTACTAATTACTCCTACACTTTGCACCATTACTGTATATATAGAGGCTTTTTACTATTTATTTGTACTGATCCGGACTTCTTTTGATTCACAGACTGGTACTAGTTTATAAGCACCACCAAAAATAAAAAATAAAAAAAATAAACCTCTCTGTCTCTCTCTAACTGCTAACTTTTCAATTTGGATTAATAATTAATTACCTTTTGGATTAATAATTTCTTTGTATCCACCCAAACTATATATATTTTCGTTCGTTCTATCCTAATTCATCATGTCATTTTCTTTTGTTCCCCATTTTGGTAACGGAACCAAATATTTATGCTCAAACAGACTCTTTGTATTAATCTAATTCCTTTTATAACATAGCCAAACACTACAAGAAAAAGGGCTATTAGTGACGACAAAAAGTCGTCAAAAATAAAAAGTCATTGGAAATGAATTTTTAGCAACCACTTATCTTCGTAAACTTGTCGCCGTAATTGATTCGTCGCAAAAATAATTTTTGCCACGATAAGCAGTCGTCGCAATTACATTTGCGATGACAATCGTCGTAAATGAGTCGCTGTAATTATTTTGTTGGTTACATCATTAAGATGACATGACATTAAATATTTGCGACGATAATTTATGAATTATGTCGTCGTAAAAAATACAAAATTAGCTAACATGGCTTATATTTTTTGTGACCACATTTATCGTCGCAAATAATATTTTAATTTTTTATTTATTTTTTCTCATTATAATAATTAATATTGTATATTACTATATATTTAAACCCAATATTAAATATAATTTATGATATTATAATGTCGTTACTAATGACCGTTTTTGTTGCGGTGAAGCATACTAGCTACATATAGAATATTCTTATTTTATTTTCAACCAATAGCTAGGTTCCGGCCAGCTTTGCGCAAACCTTGACTAATGACACAAGACCCGTGTACCAAATTCGAGGTTCTCTAAATAGGTCGCTAGGTTTTTACACTAGGGCCATGGCCTTTAGGGATTTGCTTCCAATGATTCAAACCCTTAGAACGTACTGTTTACCACAAAAAAAATATATTAAATCTTCATAAAATTAAATTGCACGTCAAAATGTTTTGAGAATTAATAACTTTATATATATTTGCAATGTTATGTTTCATATAGATGATCCATACATATATATATATATGTATGTAATATTTCTACTACTCATGCATGCATGTACGGTTGTGAAACATATACGTACGTGCAAACGTATTATAGGAAACACATAATATGGGAGTGTGTGTGTGTCGTAAATTGAGTTAGTTTATAAGTAATATTTGTAGGAAAAGGTGGCACTGCATGCTAGATATGAGCCCATATTATGTGTAAGCTCAACCACCTTCTCTCGCTAGACCAACTTTGTTACTTGTTGTGTGCATAGGAAACATTTAATATTGTAATCACAAAAGGAACAAGATCCCTCCATTTCATCACCACACATTCTCACTCTCTTCGCGACCAAACCATGCTGCCCCTAACCCTACCTCCTCTGCCCTTCTGCTTCCTCTCTAAAGCTTCAAATAATATATATATATATATAT